GGCAAAGGGAGCCACAATGCCTCGCGGTTCACCGTATCAAATGCCTTGGTGAAATCAACGAAAAGGGAATACAATGGCTAATGTCGTTCTCGGCACTACTCCGGCATCTGACGAGCCACAAACACCATATCTATAGTGCTGCGACCCGAACGTAATCCAAACTGCTCCTCTGCCACGTTAGGTTCCACAACCTGACTGACGAGGTGGTTGAGCAGAATTCGGGCAATCACCTTGCCCACACAACTCAGCAAGTTGATGCCACGATAATTCGTGCAACATTGCTTGCTACCTTTGCCCTTGTACAGTGGTAGTACAAGGGAATCCTTCAGCTCAGCAGGCACCTCCTCCTCAATCCAACCGCGTTGCACCAAGTGATGCAGCGCAGTCAACAACGCGGGTCCGCCTTGTTTCAATACTTCAGACGGGATCCCGTCGCCTCCGGCACACTTGCCGTTTCGCAGCTGAGCCAGTGCTCTCTGCGTCTCATCCAGTCTCGGCGTAGCCGCCAGATCCGCCTTCATATCGTGCTGCTTTAGGCCGTTCAGTGTAGGCCAGTCGATCTCTGAATGGTTGTTCAAGCGAGCAGACATAGTGTTTCCTCCAGATCTGCATTATGTCTGCAGTCTGTATGCAGGTAGCGCCTGAACTACCATCGATCAGTGTCCTCAGCGGCTCCAATCTCGGTCCATACACCGCCTTCAAGGAGGCAAAGAATTCAAAATTGGGCTTGGAGTCAAAGAATTCCTTGTGTTGGCGGCGTTCGGCGTAGCATTCCATCTGTTTCGCCTTTTCCGTCCACCATGCATTTTTAATGCGACGTAGCTCTCGGGTCAGTCGCCGTCGAAGTTTGCGAAACTGACTACTCTTTCTCAAGTCACTGGGATCGGCAACATGTGCAGCAAATGCTGCATTCTTCTCACAGACTAATGCGCCAATCGTCGCATTGTTCTCATCAAACCAATCAGGCCGTTTACAGTTTGCGCGCCCGATCGTCTCCTCCGCAGCAGCTTTCATCTGGTCGCGAATGTGGTGCCCCAGGTAGCCCACTGTGGCTATACAGTCCACATCACCACACAGGCGTGCAGTCATCGCCTTCTCCAGCTCAGTACGTTTCGCCACAGTACCGAGGGTGAGGGTGTTAAATTTACGCCGATTCACGGCGGGAGTGCAATACATAGATCTACGAAAATATATCTACAGTTTGGTCCGAACAAATTTGTGATCAGTGCCACACTCAGCTCCACGCAATACACGTGTCATGCACACTTCACGCATATCACGCTGACGTACGATGACATAGTCGAGCAGGTGAGCGTGACAACTCCGTGGGTGCGTCCAAGTTGCTATATCACTCGCACTCAGTGCAAACCGAGTGTTCGTGATCGTCGGGCTGGGAGTGGCACACAGTGAGAGCAGTCTGTCACCGTTCGCATTCGCTGAACCAATGCCACGCGCACCGATAACATCTGTCCACACTGATGCATCACGCCCAACGCGCGCATTGAAATCACCCAGCAGAAATAGTCGGTCGCTCCTCGGCACAGACCGTATCACGGAGGATAGCTCAGTGTAGAACTGATCACGCGTGTCATCAGGATAACACATGGTCGGACCGTACGTGCTTATAAAGGTGGCAAACTTACCTCTTCCGAGTCGTAGGCGAACAGTCATCATTCACGCGTTGGTGCCCGTTGGTTCACCCACCAGCTGGCCATTCAGGCGGTCGGATATTGCAAATCCGACCCCATGTTCACGTGGTGCTGAGGCGGCCTTTTCCACCGAGTAGAATGTGTAGCCAGCACCTGTTTCATGCAACTTACCTTGCTCAGCGAGCCGAGTTTCACTGAGCGCCACAATATCGATGTTGTAGCGCGCCAGCTCCATTGCGACCAGTGCAGTGCGTCGCTCCGGGCGCTCGCTCGAGTTCCGGTCCAGTAGTGTGCGCACGTTCCAGCACCCGATGCTGAGTGCTTTGCGCGCAGGCATACGACTCCATTGGTGGGCAATCGAAAGCGAGGTGGTCGTTGTGCTTCGGAGGTTTGCTTGAGGGACTCCACCCGGAGCCTTTGGCTCAATAGCCTGACCCACAAGGCAGTGGGAAGCAGATCCAGCTCGGGAATGTGATTGCAGAGACAGATGGGGATCTGCTTGACGGCCGTCACACGCAGCCTTTGAGGTACTGGAACAAGTATTATATGTTTTGCGACCGTAATTGGATACGCACCTGCGACCACAACCAGACGCAGGTGGATTTTTGGCGGGTTTGCACCAATTTGACCAGGGGCTGCCTGGCTTGAGGCAGGCAGTAGCAAACCATTGAACACCCGGAGGTATCCTCCCACCGTGAGACAACGCGTGGCATTCGTGCTCTACGCCAATCGAGCTGTGAGCTTATAACCCGTAAACCTGTTGTCTCCCATGGCTAGGTTTTACGGGAAGAGGGCCATCGACCACTTCGTAACCTCCGAAGAGGATGGACTAGGATACTGCCAGGGCGCCCACTCCTGACAGGAGAACGACTCGGGTCCTCAGCCAAAGCCTTCGATTAAATGAACACCCGAAAGGCAGCGGGTCTAGCACATGGTCAGTTAGCTGACTCATGCGGATTGGTGTCCTGGATCTTAGCAGGGAAAAGGGCGAAACCCAACTCCCACCCAGCGGTCTCCACGAGGAGGCGCCCAGGACATGAGATTATGGCGCAGCAGTAGCAGCAGTGGGTAGACCATCTGTCAGGATCTAGCCACCACCAGCCTCAGCGCACCATAGGCTCTCTCGCCTACATATATATATATATATATATATATATATATATATATATAAATATATATTTATATATAAACTACGTCTTTTAAGCTTGATAAATTTCATACCATTTTATATGGTTTGTTCTGCCTACCTGAATAATCTTCTACTAACTGGACACGTTGGTTACGCTAATTGCGCCAATCTTCGGTAACTTTGTTGCGTTTGTAGCATTTTAAGTAACTCGTGGATATTTCTTACTTATCGCGGATTCCTTGCTAACCAACTTACTTTATATGCTAATTTAGCGAAGAGTTTTGCCACGGTATCTGTATGCATTATTGGACTTATTTTATTACATTTTATCGTTTCAAGTTATTGGCTGTTGCTTGATATCCCCGGTGTGGCTGCGCTTGGTGCGCATGTTGACAAGGTGCCTATCTGTCGTTCATACTGGCTCCGGGAGACAGTTAGTCGTTGCTGGAGGGGACGGAGTGCACGGTCCTTGTGGCCGTGCTATGCTCGAAGAGCGGTTCCATGCACAGTATGGAGCGGACTACGGTCCATCCACCGCCTTGTGTGCGCTTGATTCCCCAAATACAGCGTGCTTGTGTTTGCCTGTGAAGGAGTGTGGACCGGCTCCGTTGATGAAACGTGGCTCCCATCCACATGCCTCCCGGTCTTATTCCTTCGGGTTTACACTGGATATGGGTGTGTGGTTGGAGCTGTGGGTGGTGCAGCGCAAGCCACCCATGGTCCCTCTGTAGGCACAGGCGTCCTGTGGCTGGCCACAGTAACAGGCAAATATATATATATATATATATATATATATATATATATATATATATATATATATATATATATATATATATAATGATAACGTGGAGATTATAAGGAGTTCATGGATGCGCGTTACACCTTAATGTAACATCCTTTCTGTACTGACGTAATTGATACAAACCGCCCCACGGGACCTTTCAGGTCAAACTTCCTGCTTTTCGCCGATGACGTCAAGATATGGCGGGCGATTAGTAACAAGACAGATCAGGACTTGCTCCAACATGACCTAGATTGCATTTACGAATGGTAAAGGAGGAACAAGCTTCAATTGAACATAGCTAAGTGCAAAGTGACGCATCTGCGTCACCAGCCGGTGAGCGCTTACAAGATTGGAGACCACACCTTGGCGAAGGTTTCTCAGGAG